GGGGCATAAAGCAATTATGAGTATCCAATTTATTTGGCAGCTAGCATTGATATTTATTAATATGGCGTCGTTTTGGGAATGTGACAGGCAATTCAAGTTGAAAATGCAGCAAGAGAAAAAGAAAGATGATGCAAGGTGGAAACTGCTTGTGAGGAAGGTGGTGTCGGCCAAAACAATATCTTCCTTGTCCCTACCCAAGAGAAAAAGAGAGGAGGAATTAGGAGAAACCAGAAGCAGCCATGGGATTAGAAGCTTCAGATTGTGATTAACTAGTCGTCGTTAATTAGGTCTGCGGCAAATTAGTGGTATGAATATTTTTTTTATTGTTACCACAATGTCAATTTTCCCCCAGATGTCAAAAATTTGTGTATTGTATATCGAAGTGAGAGTCGTGCTCCTTCCTTGGGGGAGGATAGAAGGTTAACCCTAGGAGAAATTTGGGTTAACATAGTTTGTTTTGTTACCAAATCGGGGGGTTATTATCATGTCCTGTTTGGTTTCATAATTATATTTAAACATATGATTTCTCATGTGATTTGGTGATTTAGAATATCTATACATTTCCATTTGATTTAGTTTAATCTCGTATTTAACCGTGTTAAAATTATAAATAAAAAACTTATAATTCAAGTAATTAAAAATGTTATCCGTAAATCGATATGTGAAAAGAAAATTGATAGCGTGTTCTGCGTTATATGAATACTTAAATTGTTACGTCATTGTGTGACTTTAAAAATAAGAAAACTTATAGTACATCAAACATTTTCCACACTTTATTCTTTAAAAAATATGCAACTTGCAAATGTTTTTTGGCCCATCCTTAAAAACGTGCATAACATTAACAATACTGATGTTGAAGCCTCAACCACTGCTAAGCCGGGCGGAGTATGTTGAAGCCTCTACCTCTTCAAACTTGAGCCTCCTTCGAATACACATCATGGAAATTAGAAAATATTATAAAAACTGATACTCAACGAGAAAATATTAATAATTTGATCCTTTTAATGCACATGTACTTCTAGATTAGTTCGAGGTTCTACTCATTATCAGAATAATTAATTTAAATTAATTATACAAAACGTTCTAAACGAAGTGGTAGAGGGACATATTGTTGAATGGCCAAAGTTTGATTTCTCTACTGTCAACAGTATATATATATCCGAAATCCGTATAAATCCTCATTAACTTTTTTAATCATTTAAATGCTAACCGTTGTTTTCACGTATAACACCTTACAAGCCTGATGAAACCCTTGTACAAATATAATAATTTGCCACATAACGTGTCATATTCAAATATATACACCCCGTTACATGTAAGTTTCTGTCAACGATAAGATATTCTGATATTTTAAAAAATCTTATCGATAAAGTAGTAAAAGTCATGGCATAACCAAAAATAACCTTAGTAATAGTAATACTATTTGTGTGCTTAAAAAGATCGTATGCCTCTGTTGTTTTCCATTTGACTATAAGCTACTATCAAAGTGACTTGTGAAATGATCAAGTCTTGGTGGCGCGGTAAGGGAAGAATTTTTTTAGTCTTAAAACGTAGCTCTCCCAAGTAATATTGATGGTCAATTTGGTAGCAAGTGTGAGGTCAATACAAGGGCACAATTGGTGGAAGTTAGTGCAAGCCGACAACGTTTTGGTCCCTTTCTTCATTGCAAAATGCAAACTAGGACTCTAATGCTAATGCTAAACAGACTGAAAATATTAAAGATGTAATTATATAGATTCGATCTTTCTATGGTCTCATTGTTGTTGCTGCCTTTTCTAAAGATATTTTTAGTCCAGACACAGACACCAACAGCAGCCCACACTTACCGACTTCATGATTATCGTGAAAATGTTAGGATGATTACATTTATACTCCACCTCGTGTACCACATCTCGAATAGAAATGAGATCGACCGTTTGATGAGCTCCGTGGCATTACTCTTATTACCAAACACATAATGATATTATGTTGCTTCCTATTGCCTTTGTCTGACATTAATGTTTTGTGTACCACTTTCTAATTAGCATCTGGGTCAATTGGAAAATCATGGTAGGGGGGGATGCTAGAAGAAAGGGCAAACAAAACTTAGTGGACAAAAAAGCTGAGATAAGCACTTACGCAACAGAAGCATACAAGGAATGTTCTCATGGCCACCTCTGGTTGGAAAACTTGATGATGTATACTTCCATTTGCAAGCACCATTCTCAAAAGCCTACTCATGTCATGACTTTTGTGATCAAAGATGCCATGAGAGGGATGATACAAAGCCTACAACATCATATCAGCATATATGCCTTGTCAAATCTCATTCATCTAAACACTTGTTTTTGGTCAACATCTCATTCATCACATTCGTATAAGGGCAGTTCCATCAAGGAGCCCTTGCCAAGGCAGGAGGGGGCGCAGGCCCCAAATGCATCTTCCAGCGGGCCTAAGCTGCCCGGCAGCAGCTGGGTCCCATGAAATCAGGGCAGCCCATGGGCAAAACAAGCCCGTCCTCTGGTCTGGGTTTGCTGACGTCAGAAACAAAAAAAAATATCTTAAAATTCATAAATACTTAGTCATATTATTCACTTCTCACACCAAAACTCTATACAAATTCCTATTCTCATATCTCATGTGAATAGTGGTTGTCATGGCAATGAGTGGAAACACCACGAGCCTTTTGCATGGGCTGCCACTTTTCACATGAATAGTAACAGCCCTTGTCTTGCCCTTGTCCTTTGCCGTGGCAAATAGATGGAAGTGCTCTAAGCCTCTGAACCCCCTCCTTCTCGTACATTAAAATAATTTTAGAATATCGATCTTATTTATAAAAAAAAACACACACACACACACAATAAAAATCTAGACATGTTATTCACCCAAGCCCAGCAAAAATTCAGCCCAATTTTTTTTTTTACATTTGCAAAAGCCCAATCTCATTTATTCATAAAAAGTAATTGGGCATAATGTTGTGGTCTCAACTAGGGAAAAAAAAAAGGATTTAATTTCGGACGGCAAAAACGTGGACGGCAGGATTCGAACCTGCGCGGGCAAAGCCCACATGATTTCTAGTCATGCCCGATAACCACTCCGGCACGTCCACCACATGTTAGATTACTTGTATAATTATAAATTTATATTTCAATAAGGACGTGCAGTAATACCAAGTGTGGTAGTACAAGTTCAGCGACATGTCGTTCGGGATCGCTGGCAATGTACGCATCTGACAAGGATTGGCGGCCAGATTCAACGTTGAAGACTATTTCGCATTGCTCTGCATCAATCATATTTCACAAAACTCAGTCAGGAACTAACAATGGCCGCTACTTCAGAAAAGACGGGACCCACCAACCGGGCTCTGGAACCGGACTCCGATGCTCCGGACAATCCGGGTCACGAGTTCGCTCAATTCGGATCCGGGTGCTTCTGGGGAGCCGAGCTGAGGTTCCAGCGAGTGGTCGGAGTGGTCAAGACCGAGGTAGGCTACTCCCAGGGCCACTTGGAGGATCCGAATTACAAATTGGTGTGCTCCGGAACCACCAACCACGCGGAGGTGGTTCGGGTCCAGTTTGACCCGGAAGTCTGCCCTTACACTGATCTTCTCTCTGTCTTTTGGGCTCGTCATGATCCAACGACGCTCAATCGCCAGGTAATCTTGTTTGGTTTTGTGGACCGTTGATTTTGTAGCCCAGCCCAGTCCAGCCTTTTTTCATTCGCGCCCTTCTGGACTTACGGAGTTGTAATTTTGTGCTGAGCGTTTTCTTTTGAATTTTGATGTACTATCAATAAAATAATAAAAAAGAATTTAATTCTACAAATTTAATTTATTTTTTATTTTTGGGTTTGTCAGGCTGTCTCAGTAATTGCTGAATTTCAGCTAATTCTGTATTTCTGGCACCAAAAAGTTATATGATGGGACAGTGACATGTGGAAAGAATATCAATCAAGATTGTTTCAATATATTTTGTACAACTTATGCCCTGTAGTTTTTTTTTTGGTTATGTAATTTGGGAGTTTTGTACTTTGTTAATTGATTTTCTCAATAGATTTTTGTTTGTTTGAATGTATGAATGTTTTTTTTAATTGACGGATTTTATTTCCAAACACGTCAAATTTTAGCTTAAAAGAAAGGAAAATTACAAAACCAAATACATGAGTGATTATTATTTTGTCCTAAATCGGTTATCATATTTGCTTCTCGATAAACATGATATAGAGTGTAATGTATGAATCTAAGGTTCAAATTGATAACCAATGAAAGAGAATAATACCTTGAAATGAGATGATTTTCTAATTGATCAAATAACAAATTTATGTGTTTATGTATCAGGGTGGTGATGTTGGTACACAATATCGATCTGGAATATACTACTACAATGAAAACCAGGCTCGTCTGGCCCAGGAATCAAAGGAGGCAAAGCAAGTGGAGTTGAAAGATAAGAAGGTGGTGACTGAGATTCTGCCAGCAAAGAGGTTTTACAGGGCAGAGGAGTATCATCAGCAATATCTGGAAAAGGGAGGAGGTCAAGGCAACAAACAATCTGCTGAAAAAGGTTGCACTAATCCTATTAGGTGCTATGGTTGACAAGTTTATGCATGCATGATGCCATAGGAGTCAAACTTAAAAACATATGATGCCGGCAATGCCGTACTTATCGTAAATAAATGAGGTTTCATAGTGAGACCGGATATGTACAAATGAAACGTTGCCGCATCAATTAGGATTTGCTTTTGTGTACTCGTATTGTTTATGACAATCGAGCATCATGCTTTTATATATTGAAAATACTCTGATTTTGAACCTTCTTTTCTTTCTTGCTTTGATGATACTTCTGTTATGCTTGGTAGGAATAGGAATAGAGTTGGGGAAATTAATTCGACAATGTTATTTCAGCTTAGCAGACCAAATACAGATCTTAGATGATACATGAATAATTCAAATCTATGAGAAACATTATTTGGCCATGAGGCCATGTGTCATGCAACAATTTTTTTTTTTTATAACTGAAGCAACATCAGCAAAGCTTAGATTCAATGGAGGATGTTGTTTAGAGTTCATCCTTAGAATAGGAGGTAGGTGATCCTTTAGGGTTGTTGGAAGAGTTCTTGACGGGATATGAAGCCTCCACTGCTATACCACAGAGCCCCTCTTTCGCAGAGACGCCACGCTCCATCCGTATGTAACCCTTCTCTCCCCACTCAGTGCCCCAGGAGTTCTTCACTATCCAATACTTGGTTCCATCTAGTGTTGCTCCATAGCCAACAACTGCAACTCCATGATCAAGCTCTGTGCCACATTGTCCAGTAAATACCCCCTGCAAATCATTGTCAAGCAGATTAAGATACGGCGGTATGAACCATCTGATTTTTCTTTTTTCCTTCTGTTTTACTAGCTTAGCGACTTGTGTTTGGTTACATTCCAATAGGCATTAGCCAAAGTGAATACAAGTTAGAAAGTTTACCTCAGAGTAGAATTGAAAATCAGAACCTCCGGCGTCTATGGCAACGGAAATAGGTTGGTTTGCAGCTGCTTTGAGCAATGCATCCTCGTTATTTGCAGGCACACTCTCATGGCCATCAATTGACACTACTGGAGCATTTTCCTGCAAAAGCATATTGGGTATATAGTGAAGGAGCATCCAAAATGGACAAAGATATATCGATCCCCGAAAAGTAAGTGCACAAAATGTATACCTTTGCAACATTACATTTCGAATTTTCTGCTCGGTAAGGGTAATTTGTCTCTGTTGTTAGGCCACCATTTTGTTTGATGAACTCAAATGCCAATTCCATTAGCCCTCCATTGCATCCTTGATTTTGTTCGGTGTCACAGTCAACCAACTCTTGCTCAGACAATGAAACCAGCTTACGGGTCTTAATTTGATTAATGCCCTCAACAGCTACAACTGTTGAAAATGCCCAGCAACTACCTGCAAAATATCGTCGAAAGGAACTTCGGTTAATGGCCACCCTAGTTTCAAACATTTCCAGTTCTGTGCTGCTATAGGCAAACAAGAAGAAACAAACTAGAAAAAAGAAGGAAATTTTCCTTACCACACTGGCCTTGATCCTTAACAGGAGTGACGGCACCTTTCTTTCTCCAATCAACAGAGGGCGGGACAATGTCAACATTTTCATACCTAAAGCCCCCATCACCGCGCTGCTCCCCCTGGAGCATCCTATGATGCTTAACCTTTGAACCGGCGTAAACGCTCCTGAACTCATGGTTGGTCATGTCAGCAAACTTGTTCAGCTTCAGCTTGTAAGGCTTATCTCCTTTGTTAGTGTTGTGGACATGCTTGACATTCTCCTTGAACACATTGAACCGCTTGTGCTTCTCATCAATGCTCCTGGAAACCGTGTGATGGCTCCTCCACCTCTCATACAAATCCCACAGGCTGTCCTCAGAGGCCAAGTCCTTCTCGTGGAAGTCGAAACTCTGAGCAACCCCAATAACCAAAGCAAGTGACAGAGCAAGAGCAACCCAAATAAACTTAGTCATTTCTATTGGCTTATGATGATTGGACACAAGATGAGAATGAGAATACAGAGACCTCAGTGCTGCTTTATATAGAGGATCAAAGAATTCAGGACAAAATTAGAGTGATGATGGTGATGATGAAAAGATAGAGTAAGTTACAGGTTCCTTGTGGAAATCAAACAGCTTCAAATAATGGAGCAAAATTAAGAGCCAAAATGTACGGGCTGTGATGATTGTTTTGTGGAGTTCAAAAAGATGTGTGGGAAATGGGTTCTGGTTTTGTTCTGCAAGCAATGCCTTAGATTAGTTAGTTTTGTTCATACGAGGCTTTGGAACTTCTGAAAAAGGAAGCAAGAATTTGGGTATTTTTAGCAGTTAGAAAATGGAAAGCTTGCGTGGGCATTTAGACTTCTTTCTGTTGATTACATGCCATGATGCCCAACACGTTATAATACCATCACCATGTATGCAAAGGGAGCATGGGTTACGTAGATTGAGTCCTTTTGCCACGATTTTGCAGAGTGGAAAATAAAGTGGTGGTGATAACTGCTTGCTTTATCCTCTTTTAACTGAAAGCCTAGGCAACAATTGGATAGTTTTGAGCTTGTCGCATAGTTAATTAATTGCCTTTTCCTTTGGTGGTTAAGCTTAATTTGTTTAGATTAAGATAATCCACTCGCCAATTGGGTATAGCTCAGTTGGTTGAGCTCTTCCACCTCCACCCATCTAGGTTGAGATTCAAAACCCCATACACCCAATGAATATTTGTGTAAAGCCCCTCCCCCAATCGCTTGTACTAAAAAAAAGAGAGATAATACACTCTTTATTTGAGTAATCTTGCAATTTAATGTGCCGACTCAAGGGTCAAATGTATCACTCAATGAGTCATGATGACATAATAAGTGTTGTATTTCCATGTGTTCGAACTGAATACAAGGTCGTAACTAGGATTTCCCTTATGGTTAAGATGATTCCATAATTTCGGCCAATAAGATTATAAGAACATGATCCCAAATTATAGAAACCTAGAGAAAGATGTGATGCATGAAATTCCTTTAGGCCGAAGCAATCAAAGAAAGAGATGACTCAACCTAGCAAATACAAGTCCAAACCATTTGACTAGGTCGGCAGTTGAAGTAAAACATCGCTTGTAGGACTTCACAAAGACGCTGGCGTAGTGTATTCAGCGACTAGTCACTTGTACATGTAGAGAAAGTGAGACGGCCTTTTTTGTCATCAAAACCGAAAAAAGCGAGGGAGGCTTTTATCGATTTGTATCTCTTTGTGGACACAAGAACTTCTTCAAAAACAACCTTCAATAATGTCTCAAATTTTAAACATCAAATGATGCGACACATATCATAAGGTGGCACGCAACATTTTCATCACCAAATGATTTGACATGTAACAATATTTTAGGTGTTAGAGATAAAAAAGAATTAGAATGGACGTGTATTAACAAATAAAACAACAAAAAATGAAAGAGAACTGCTACGTTTGTTGGGCAGGATGATTTATGATCAATAAGAATGGTGATTAAAAAAAAAATTGTCAATTAAGTGGGAGAAGAAAAAATATTTGTGATGAACAATAATCCAAAAGATGTTAGCAGGTGAATCCAAAATCTGTTGGGTAGGTTTCACCAATAATTTTTTGCGTGCCTGTGTGCAAGAACACCTTATCTGCACAACCAACGGCTCAATCTCATTCAACTTCAGCACAATAGTTTGTTGATGGCTCTGTTTGGATGTCCTCATCTTTCAAATCATTAGATGGATTCAAAGTGTGAGGCTGTAAGTGAAAAGGCAGCACAAAAATCAAAATGATACGCCATGAAGCCTAACTAGCTAGCTCATCTGTGTATTGCGTGACCGCATAAAGTGCAAACCAGTGCAGCTTATCAAGAAAAACATGTGGTGCTTTTGATAACTTTCACAAACCAACCTAAAGAGAGAAGGTACAAGCGTTTACATTAAAGACGAGGCCATAGGAATGAAGGTCATAAATATGAAAGAAAGAATTAAAACCTCTAATGACTGCAATAGAAATCTAGTGCATCTTGAAGTGAACGATACCCTTTCGGGTCGCATCTTGTAGTGAAAGATACCCTTTCACAGGAAAAGCAACAACCTCACAATGAGGATGGCTTGATGCCTTCATGCTGTTAAAAAGTTAACAGTGGAAACTGGGGGGAAAGTGATTGTAGTTTCAGCTCTAACGAACTGGCGCTAGCATGTCAAACAAGTCAGGAGATGAGATGCAACTAAAATCACTGATGACATTGATGATTTGGTAAGTTAAAGAATATCTAACATCAAGGATTCATGCCTGAAGAAGATGAAGGAAAATATGGACAATATTCCAACTACTTGTTTCTAATTGTGCCTGAACATAAGGTAATTAACATTTCAAAGCGTCACTATAACATTCAAAAAATATGATATCATTTTCGAAATCTTACACAAAGTCATTCATGCGACAAAACTTAGCTATCCCGTGTGAATGCCAAGTTAAATTATTCCAGAACCATGATACTGTTCAAGAGAGCTATGCTCAAACAAAATCAGAAGTAGAGGAAACAAAGGGAAACCAGGGTACAAGAAAATCAATGGAGTAGATCATGCTTGAGTCTCCCTTTGTTTGGCTTGCTGCAGAAGCTCTTCTCTAACCCTCTTAATTTCCAATTCCCTTTCCAGTCTTTCTTGCTGACACAGTAGCAGACCCAAATCAATATCAAAGCATGGAAGATTTTGAACAGAAATCAATACCGAAACACAATGATCCATATGTGGAGATTAGAGAAGATCAACTAAAAAGGTTCATTCAAAAGGTAAGCACAATATAATAGCTTCCTGCTATCATTTGAATATTAATCTAATTAAAAATGGTTTTATTACTCCAAAATGCAAATGCTTGTTTCTCTGTTACACAATTTTGTGCTTTCTACCCAAAGTATGGCATGCAATATGTACGTGGTTTAAAAGAAACAAACGAAACACAAGTAACCCAACTAGTAATGAAAATAAGCAACACACGAGGAAACGCACAATCCACCACGGAAGAAGAGCTCCATATAAGAAATCCATGAATAAGAATTGGCTCTAACTCATAAAGGTTTAATCTACACAGGAGTGTCACTATATTGCATAAATATAGCATAATAACAATGATTAAGGAGAAATTCCAGGTTCAACTATGTTCCTCAATCCCCATTAACCAAGCATTACCCTCTTGATTGACAAGAAAACAATTAATGAATAAATCAAGCTCAAAGGTAGGAAACAGTAACTACATTTTAAGCAAACCTAACACACAACCCCCCCCCAAAATTTCATGTCATTTCACTCATCAAATCAACATTTTTCACGAAGAATTGAGCAATTTAATTATGACCCATCTCGATGTTTGAGCTTCTGGAGCTGAAATTGAATTGAAATCCTAAATACAAATTCAAAATTATCCGCATTCTCAGTCCAATTCGAAAGAGAAATTGCGATGATGAGAAAGAAGAGTTTTTTACCTTTTCGTCCTGACGGAGAGCGATCCAGACGTGGACTTTATCCATGGATTGCCAGAACACAAAAGCTCCCAAAGTCATAGCAAAGTAGGTTGCTACCTTCACCATCGTTCAGCTTCTCTTTCACTTCTTCCAATCTCCGTTTTAGGTTTCAGGCGAGGGAGTGAGACCACTGGCAGGACTTTCCGTTATCGAAAACGGGTCGAATCCAAACCCCAGAATGCTTTATGGTAACTAGGTAGAGAAGCTCCACTCCCTGTTGGGCCCAATTGATAAATGATTCCATAGTTGTTATTTGGCCCATTTGAACAACAGATTAGATAGGTTTTTTCATTTTATTTTTATAGGTCCAAGAAAGCTATTATGGGTAAGGTTAATTATTGGAATTTTTCATGTAGAATGGAAGTTATTGTAAAATTGGCAAATTTGATTTAATATTGTTTGAATCATAATTTATAGAGGCAATTGGCATGGCTAAGCCTACTCTCAACTATGGCCAAAAAACAAGAACAGGAAAAAAAATGAATAAAATTTATTCAGGAACTCTGTATGAGAAAGAGAGAAGAATGACTGCACACATGGTACAATTCGAGATGAATCAATCAAATATTTACACCAAATCTATTAAAACTTGTGTACATTGTGTATGAGTGAGATGTTTCTTGTGGAAACAAGAATAAATGGCCTCAGCCAAACGATTCACGCCCAAGTGCAAACAATGCCGTTCTTGTCCGCAGAAGCTAGAGGTTTTCCATGCCCACTCCATGAACAACACAGCACAGATGCAGTGTGTTCCTTCAGAGTGCTCACAATGTCGGCCTTAGAGATTGACCAAATATACACAGAACCATCGGCAGATCCAGCGGCAACATAATTGTCGTCTGGACTGATACAGGACCGGCTCCAGTTAGACGCCACTCTGTTTCCGGTGGCCCTTAATGTGCCGCAGACTTCCAGAGACCGCATATCAAACAAATTATGCACGTTGTCTCTTCCACTTGTCAATACAACGTTGCCATTTCGGGACAAAGATATGGATGTAACAGCATTTGAATGTGCAGCTACTTCACTGAGTAGCTTTCCTTTCTCAATATCCCACAAGCGAAGGTTTCCATCGACGTGCCCAGAACATATGGTCTGTCCATCCATGCTGAAGCAAAGAGCATTGCAGTTTTTGGGGAAAATAATTGTGTTGGTGCAGTAACCTTTCTGCAAATCCCAAACTTTTATGGTACGATCATAGGCTGCGCTCACAACATGACGACTCGAATTGCTAACATCTACAGCACATACTTTATCCATGTGGCCAGTGAGAGTATGGCGAACCCTCCCCGAGCTAACATCCCAGGCATACAATTTGTTTGAGCTGCTTGCTGCAATGATAGATCTATTATCATGGGTAATGGTAATATCAAGAACGGAACCAATGCAACCATGAAGTGTATGATTTAGTGCCCCAGTATTTGTATCCCACATTTTGATGGACCCGTCCTGTCCGCCAGTAATCAATTTGCCAGAATTGTACTCAAATAATATGGAAGCACAACCACCTTCATGGGCATGGATCCTGCTCTTGCATGCAGAGGGAATTGTTGACTCCACAAAGTACTCAGCACCTTCTTCACTTTGGCGGACCACACCATCTACTTGCTGCCTAGCAAGTTTTTCCAGACCACTGGCCCTGAGCCGCTCAATCATATCTTCATAGAGTGCATTTGCCTAAATTAAATAAAGAAAAACTGAGTTACCCCAATATACATTATATGTCAAACAGGTAGAAAATTTATAAACAAATCCCTTTCAAGAGCCAAAGAAAATCAAAATCCTACTCTTATACACTGGAAAACAAAAGAGTGATAACAACAAAATATCACATATACTTTCTAAAGGCTTTATGTCAAGTCAAATAATAATCAACACTCGTGAACGAAAGGGGCAATGTCCATGCCAACAAATATCCTAATTGATTAGCTAAAATACACCATTGTTTTTATTTAGGTTTTTCTAGTACTTCTGTAGAACTTATGACAGTGGCAAGAATACATATGTATGCAGTTAAGCACAAATTGGCTTAGTCATCCAACATAAAAAGAGTGAATGTCAATACTTGGTACCACTTACAGCAAGTCACAATGATTAATCAGAGCCTTGAGAAACATCAACCCAGGAGACTAAGGCATTATAGCTATGTTTCTCGTCTTTTAACATAATATCACAACTTAAAGCAATCGACATCTACTGGTATCTACTATACCAAACCAAAAGTTCTGTCTGATTATAAAACTGATATAAGTACCTCGTTAAGGCGTTCAGCATCCTTCATCTTTTCCAACATCCAGCGGTCAATTAACACCTTACTTTCAGCCTCAGCATTCTTAGCTCTAATAGACATTTCTTCAAGCTGCGCTCTTATTTCCTTGTTCTCACTCACAACCAAGTCTAAGGCTTTAATCTTCTCTTCTAAGTCAGTCGTTAATTGAGAGCATTCATCCCTGCAACAATTGCAATCAATCATACAGAACCTTGAAATCTGAAAAGCACTCCCTTGCTATTACTAGTAAAAAAGTCAACCTTTTTTCTGTTAACTCCTTTTGGAGATCAGCCACTGCTGCTTCTTTCTCTTGAAGTGAAGCTTTTGAAGCTCTGGACTCTGCTACTTCCACCACAAGTTGCTCGGACAATCGAGATTGAGCTTTGTAACATTGCTGAAGTTCGAGTTCCAAACTCTCTGCTTTCTCCTTCCATTCTGAGCCCTTCAAAGACATTCAAAAGTAACTCAATATCTAATTAAAAACAATCAAAAGACAAAAAAGAAGCGAAATTTGCAAGCATTTTAATTGCATGGAAACTGATGACCATGAACATCAAATTAAGCAGCACCAAAGTCCATGAATATTAATTATCTGTCTTAATAAATAATTTTTAGGCTTCAAAAAGTCAAATATTTTAGTTCTAATAACATTTACAATAACCAAAATCCTAAATCCTAGCTTGTAAGGAAATAAGAGAAGACCTGATGAGCAATTGGCCTCGCAAGAGCGATAAAAGCCGGAGCATGAGCACCTTCTTCGAGCAAATGCCGCTTCCGAAGAGCCTTCAGTGCGTGCTTTATCGCTTCCCTTGCTATCTCCTCCTGTGACCTGCACGAACAAAGTTGACTGAGCATAATAAACTTCTCTACAGTGTATAGTCATCTCTGTTTGGCAGCTGAGAAAATCGATCAAAAAGAAAATTCATGAAAGTTTGGGAAAGCAAAATCACGCAAAACTCTACTTGAAGACCAACTACGAGTTGATTGAAGTGAGCCATACTTACATTGTGATCGAATCGAGCACTGTGCCAAAGCAATCGATGGTGTTAGGGCTTTACGAAGAGGATGCAATCATGTTGCTAAGGGCGCAGGGGTAATTCCTGATTGTGAAAATTCGTATAGACCTTTAACCTCAAAGAAACGGGAACTCAAAATCCTTGAGAAATCGGAAAAATCGAAAAGAATGGAATGTAAATTCCAAGTGAGTCCCGGAAAAAAGCAGGGGTTGCGTATACTGCTAGAGATCCAACCCAATGAAGTCGGAAGAGGCAGGCTTAAGGAGAAGGGGACGCGGGTGTGGTATGGCGAGGCAAATAACCAAAACGACAACGTTTTCGCTTTAAGCTTGGTGAAAATTTAATTTTTTTAAAAAATTCTTCAATTTTTCAATCAATTAATTATAATTGATAGCTCGTTGGTTCAATTGTGTTGCTTCACTTGAACTCTATTGGGAGCCAAAAACAAAATTGAATGGGTTAGGCCAGTGCCCTCTTGCAACCAATTTCGAATCTCTCTCCACATAGATTTTCATAGTAGAAACACAAAAAGGAAAAAAGGAAAAAAACAATTGCCATAAGCCTATAACAAAATGCTACAAGTTTGATTTTGATTATTACCCTTTTGAATCAACAAAAAACAAAATTGCTAAGACTAAGGTCATTGCCATGTATCTTTTTCTACAGTTCCCCTTGTGAACCATGAGCTTCATTTCCTTTCAATGATGAGAAACAAAGAGGTTAGGGTTCTTTCATTAACAATCAAGGGGCAATGACACCCAAAAGAACACATTAAAACTCTACAAGCCATGACAAAGTTACATAAAATAACAAAGATACACATCCTGAAACCACAAACTTTGGCTGAAACCACAAACTCTACAACCTTAAGTTAGATCCCAAATAATTTCCCCACCCCACTTGTTCTACGTTTCTTTATCCCAACCCAATACAAACTTTCACCGGAGATTTACCCAGCTCGAATTCTGTCCAGCCAGTCAACGCTCTTCCGCGCTTTTTCTAGCTGATGGTCAATGCTTCGCCTAGATTTCTCGTGATGGTATTCCACGCTTCTTTGTGACCTCTCTATCTGGTCAACAGAGATTCTAAACTTATCTACCTTGTCAACGTTATTAAACTTGTATTCACTAAATTTCAGCTTTTCGGGTCTATCAGTGCTCTTCCTTGATTTCTCTCTCCGATCAGTACTCTTCCTTGGAGCCTCAAAAAAATCAACACTCCTCCTAGGAAGTTCGATGCGGTCCGTGCTTTTCCTATGGTCTGTGCTTTTTCTAGAACTAATCCTTCGCGAAGGTGATTTTTCAACAGTTGATATGAACTTATTGAGATGTCTAAGATATTCTGGATACAGTTCCAAATTACAGTGACTTCCGCCTTTTAGCCATAGAGGTTCATATTTCTCTTGACATAGTACCCAAAGTTGCTTGCCGTGTGAGCAGTCGACAACTTCATCAGCTGTTCCCTGGAGAAGAATAACAAACACAAAATGTCAACTAAAAAAAGAAATTCAAAATTTGTGGTGAAATCCAAGATTAAACAACATCAACTTTTTTCTAACTGATTTCAGATGGATCCTTCAGCATGAGATTGCAAATATAAATGCATGATATTCCACTTTAATCATCTATGAAAAACTAAAATTAAATGACATGTCAAACGTATGGAAAATAGTAACATTCCAGCAATCACTTCATTTCACAGCAGAGGCAAAATAATAATTGTTGAGTACTTACATGTATTACCAGCACAGGACATTTCACCAGAGGGATTTTATCAATGTTCTGCACATAAATGAAAATCAGGTTCAGACATGCACATATGCATCACCATTCTCAATATAAAGTAACTCAATAAAAGTCTTCACCAAAATTGATATCAAGAATCTAACCTTATAGATATCAAACCAGTACGTGCGCTTCACAGGATACATGACTCTTAAACCTGATAATATAGGACTATGCAAAACGATTGCTCTCAGTCGAGGCAAACGGGCAGCAAGATCAACAGTAGGACCGCTTCCAACAGACTGACCATAGAGGATTATGTCTTCCTGCTTAGCCCCATACCTCTCTTCGAGACACTTATATGCAGCTTCAATATCTGCATAAGTATTATGTTCACTTGGCTGCAGAAAGGTTTACAAATGAGCATCAGATAAACCTGTGTAGTAGAATTTGAATCATGACAAATACATGATTCATACGGCACTTACCTTGCCTGATGACTGTCCATAGCCAGAGTAATCATACCTGCCCACGTTCAAATAATATGGTTCAGAATGTTTTCCATGTTTTCCAAATAATATGGTAAAATCAAATGAGTACAATTAAACAATTGCATTTGAAACCCAGGTTTGCATACAATCAGTATCCCGGCTGATATAACAAAATGTGCATGTATAAAGGAGATTCGCCTTCATGGCTAGCCTCTGAGCTATTGAAGTGAATGCCAGTTGAACTTTCACGTTTTCTCGAGGTACTTGTGTTTCCATTTTAACTCAAATAACCAAAATTTGGTTCGATGGCAGGAAATAGCGAAATTTAGTTCAATATGATATACCACAGCATAAGCAGTCTAACTAACTTCTCAATGGGCACTGGGCAGTTCATAAACAAATTTTTTTGCTTCTATAACCTTGACAATTAAAAATTACCTATCCCAGCTTCCAATCGTGTACATTTAGGTTCACCTACTTCTGATATTCATTTATAAAACCTCTTCCAGTTAAACTGTAGATCCCAAACCACTTTGTTATTCCAACTTCATTGCTAATTGATTGAGTGAGCCAAAACACTACTTGGGCTAATCAGAGCACTTAAAATACTTGTATATCTAAATCAGAATTCTTAAGATATTCATATTTCTAAATCAAATCGTGAATAACAATCCAAAAATATCTTATGGCACATCCCCAATTCCAATCACTACAAAAATGCAAACTTTCCAAAATTTCTCTACTGGTATTTCTAATTCGCCACAATTTCATCAACGCACCCTCTTCAGAATGAGAAAACCAATCACAGGCACAGGGACACAAAACCAAAACAGCAGATAAAAAAGCAAAAGCTTTAAAATTGGAGTAAAGGGTAGAGAGAAATTATACCCCATGAGATTGACGCGGAGGTGAATGCTCAATTCGATGAAAAGCTCGTACATTTGACCGATATCAGTGGCGTTGCCATGAGAGTACAGCAGGGTAGAGGTGGCCATTGGGTGGCGTACATAAACGGCCACGATCTCATTGCCGCGGCGAGTGGGAAATTTCAAAACGTCGACGTTTTCACGATGAGGAAGAGGGTCCATGAGCAAGAGACCAGTGGCTTCGTCTTTAACTACCTTGTAGGATGGTGGGTTGGGTGGGAAAAAGGCAAACTTTGCAGCCATGGATGAAGTAACCCCACCCATTCTCTCTCTCTCTCTCTCTAAGACTAGTCCTGTGGGATTTGAAGATCAGAAGCAGCAAAGTGACATTCCTATTTTCTTCTACTGTTTGCTGAGTGAAGACAGAGGGTTTGAAGTGAAAAAGTGAGCAAATTTCTCGCGCTGGGGCAGAGACAGAAGGAAACAGAGTCTCTTATTAACTCTGAAATTTCCAATCCATTGGTTTTCTTTTTTTTGACTTTTTTCTAAATTGCCAAAATATATTTATTAGATTAGTGGCAATGATATCCTGAGCAGTCGATCTCGTGTGGTTGGGTTTGTACTTTGTCGTAAGACCAAGGGTCTTGCTCACAGCTCACGTCCTGTTATTTTCATATTTTCTTTGGTTACAATTGTATTGTCCTGTTATTTTCTTGAATTGCCGTATTCCTTTTCTCTATTTGGTTTGCATCAAAGACTTTTGATTATGGTTTATGTGTGCTTTCGTTGAAAGTTAGTTTGCACCCTTAACTTTCAGTAACATTAATACAATATATTGTGAAGATGTGAGTTATGTCAATTGATCGGGATAGTGATTTCGCCATTTGACACTCAAGTTCGAATTACGAACAATGAGTCCACGAAAATGTCATTACAGAAATCTCCATGTTTTCTTGAGCAAAATTTGTGGGGAAAAAAAAAAAATGGGAATCCACGAAAATGGAAGAACATAAATAGAGGCGTAAATCAAGGGCATATGCATATCAAGGAGGAAAGAAGACAATATTAGTGAGAGGCCATAAATGAGTATCATGGAGATTAATGATAAAATATTTGCGGAGTTGATCCTTCTAAATTGGCTAATTAGCTATTTAGTTCAGCTTAGCTTTAACTTAACACGCGGTTTACAGGTTGTCTCATTTTGTTGTTACTCTCTCGTGAGTCTTCATGATTTTCCAACGGCCACCACCGCTTTCGCCATTTTCAAAGACAACTCTGTCATGCATGCAGGACATTAAATAATAATAAAAAAGGTAAAATATGAACCAGACAATTTGGTCCAACCAACAACAACCAGATGGTATCAGATCTCTAATTCTTAATTAATTCAAAATAAGTATAATAATTCGTATTTAACTAGACGTTTTATTGAGGTGCATATGGGTGTTATTGAGGTTTCACCTAGACGTTTTAGAATTTTCCATTCCATGCATGCAAGCTAATTAATCAATTTCATAGTTAATTACTGTATTTTATATTTATATTTTTCTTGTCAAACAACTCTGTCATGCATGCAGGACATTAAATAATAATAAAAAAGGTAAAATATGAACCAGACAATTTGGTCCAACCAACAACAACCAGATGGTATCAGATCTCTAATTCTTAATTAATTCAAAATAAGTATAATAATTCTCTTTGCAAACTTAACTGAAAACAGATGTTAAAAAAGAGAGTTATAACGTAAAGAAATGCACAAATCAATTAATACTTCGTGATTAAGTATAATTTGAATTGTACATAGATATTCGAGTAAGGAGAAATCGAACATATGAGCTACTAGTTTCTTGTTTTATTTTAACGAAATTAGATCAAAAACTCTGAAGATATGAACGAAAAACGACTTAATTAAGAATATTTGTATAGGTCTAGAAAATCGAAAGCCGCAGAGAAATTTGAATCCCGGAGAATTCGTGTGGAACGTGAAAACCTAAACTTGGAGCAGCTCACCACAATTTCAATGGTCCCTCTTTGTGTCTCACTCTCTCTCTCTCTCTCTCTCTCACATAAACACTCTGAGAATCTGAAATTGTGAAGAGTATGTTGGCAACGTTCAGGACAATTCCCTTGATCGAATGAGACTGCTCACATGTCTGCCCTTTTCAATTCATCGATATTTGGTGCTCTCACAAACATATACAACCACTTTCTTATTTATTTTTTGTTTATTTTTCCCATTTTTTAAATTATGGTCTGGCCCAGCCCAAATTTTACCTCAACATTTAGGCCTGTCTGACCCAACCCAAAAGAGAGCCAGAATCTAAGAGACCTGTCTGTACAAGACTGATTGGCTCATATTGACCTGGACCAGCCCTTTTATATTTCTATTGCTCTTCTGGGTTGGGTTGGGTTGGGTCTGCACCATGTGAGCTGGTCTTCTATCAATTGGAGAGCCGGAAATGTCAGAAATGCACACACCTATTGGCTCAAAGTAAACATGACAAGTTCAGAATACAGGTTGCAGCAATGAAGGCTGTCTTGCCCAGTTATATGCAAAGAGTTAAGTATGGGTGTGTTACTTTTTTCATGGAGCCATCATGTCACATGCCAATACTTTTTTTGCACACCAAATTCAAAAGCTGCAGGGCATGGAGAGAGAGATATATATAGATACATCTCCATACATCTCATGAAGCTAGCTACAAAGTGACTGTTCCCTTCTGCATGCAGGTACACATTAGAGGGTGGGGGGGTTTACTACTCTAGAGAGTGGAGCAAGATCCAGTGATTGTCATTAGTGGGCAGCTCCAAACAACAACAACAAGATCATCTGAAACTATTGCATATTATGCAGAAAATGCAAATTTTTGACATAAATTAAGGAACAACAAGAAGTTAGTGAGTTAGTATTGGATACAATCGCTTTCGAGTTATAATCGTGTTTGTGTAAAAAAACATGCCATCCCATTTAACTTGATTATAGACAATTTATGTACTATATTAACTTGCCTAACTTATCACGTCATGCCATGTTTAAAATTAGAGTGTAATTGTATAAGTGCTAAACTAAATACCAAGATTCTCAAACTCAGCTTGCATAATATTACTTAACAAGCCATAATCAAGCCAAAATAAGAGTCAAACTCAAACTATAACGAGCTAGTTTACGCTAACTACAAATGATGAGTTAAAAAACAAGCAAATAGGTATGCCCTGCCTAAAAATAACATGGATGAGATGAATGGTGGAGGAGGCAACGCTTTTAGTAGCAAGTCTACAATTCAAATTCCCAGAGTCCAAAATAGCATTTTGATATTTTACCTAGTTGATAATATTTTGATATTAATCTCACATTGGAAACATTGTCCATTTGATTATTTTTGTACCTAGTTCCAAAACTTGGTGTACAAAACTAGTATTTTACCACTGTTTTCTAACGTGGTTGATGTGGGAAATAGTATTGTTTATTAAATACCGGAGGGGCCACGCTATAAATTGATAAGTAATTCACTTCTGCCACAAAGTCCTTGTTGCATTATATAAAATCTCATTCGAATTCGAATTTTCTTGGCATTTTCCTCCGGTTTCCCGGTAAACAAACAGACCAAGGCAACATCACCACAAAAATACAAAGGCCAGCGCAGCACCTGTATACATTTTCTGACACGTGTCATTCATGCCCGCTGGCCAAGTCATCCAACTGAATTATCCATTAGGTACAGGGCCATACAGAACATCGTTTTCCCGGGGTAAACTATAAACTGAAAGACCGCCGAGTGCTGAAATGACCAAAACACCCCTGAAGAGCTCATTCTCCGAGACTGACAAGCAGACCTACGCTACTATTTTCTCTGCACAAACTCTGCAACAAAGCATCAGAAAATTTCTGACTCAGAATTTAGCTGTGTCCTCTCCTCTCTGTCCACGTCGGCTCCTCGCTCACAAGCAATGGCATGCCTAGACCTAACCGCCCCTCACATTTATTACATTTACTACTTTGCCACTTACCGCGCCTCTATCTTCTTCCCCTACCTATGCTTCTCCACGACAACGGAGCTCAACCACCAAGACCTCTGTTTTAGGGTTAGGGTTTTATTTAATCTACCCCGCTTTCTACGCTACGCCTTTGAAAAATCTCGTCAAGTTCCAAGAGGTTTTTGATTATTTCTATTTCGAAAGGTTTGGGTTTTTTTTCTTCTCATCTTTGTCGTTTCGCATTGTTTTTTTCCTGCGTTTAAATATTTTTATTGTTTATTTTTGAATTGTAGATTCTTTCTTTGACTCTTTCTCTCTCACTCTATATCTCTGTAGACTGTGTGGTGTTGAGCTGGATGATGGTGGTTTTGAGTTGACTAATGGTAATGGGCTAGCAGCTTTTGGTGGAATGTATTAATCAGCAATGCTTGTTTACTGCATGTGGGTGAGTTTTGATGCTTTTTCTTGGGAATGGCTTTGTGAGTTTTTCGTTTTGTTATCCACAGGTAAGATGAAAGAGCTTTTTATGAATTCCATGGTGTTATTCTGTAACAGTGTTATGTACTTCTGTGAATGCTCAAGTTTTGATTTTTGTTTTCTCTAAAATGGCAATGCTGAAATGCCTTTGATGAGAAATCAGTGTATTCGTTGTTTCCTTCTTTTGCTCACTGATTGGTCTTTCAGACAGTGAATGACTGAACTTAACATTAGTTTGGAATTTTTTTTAAAATTGTTTCGTCTACCATTTTGTGGTTTTGGTTTCTCTGTGGAAAGTTAAATCCACTACAATTCTTTACCTGTTTTTGATTAAGAGGTTTTCTCTGGTGTCCATTTTAATGTTTGTATTACTGCCTTGCCTCTTTCAGGTTGGGAATGCGCAGGTCCTTTTGAGTCCTGGAATTTGAAATTTCATGGTAAATTTTGGTGTTTCTTTGAGTTATTGTGTTTGATTGTTATTTTCTGTTCGAGAAAATGATGGATGGGCGGCGGCATTCTGTTGATCTTCCGATTTCTAAGACTCTTGTGGCACTGAGGAGGGTGAGGTCTCTAAGGGATCCATCCACTAATTCTATGAGCAAATTCTCTGCTCCACTTGAGAATGTAAATTGGGAAACAAATTCGAGTAATGACATTTCTATGCGATTCATGAATACTTTCCAAGAAGGTGGCTCTGACGAACATCGTTCTTTGAGACCAAAGAATCTGGGTTTCTACAGACACAGAGGAGATTGCTTAGATGATTTTGAGCTAGATTGTGGTTTGGAAAAATCTAGGTTGATCTTGCATGAGAATTCAGAGTGGGTTGGAAGCACAGGGAGTCGTCCTATTAGGAGCAAACAGGCTGAAGAATTTGATTTTTCAGAATCAGATAAGGAAGAGGTTTGTGGAAATAAATCACTCAGTGATAGATACTGCAGCAGTCAAATGGATAAAGGATTGGTCTTGCCACGTGTCAATACTTGGGAGGATGTGGATTATGAAGCAGATGTCAGATCATCACATTTAGAAAGAACAGATCAGATTACATCAAAGCGAAAATCACAGTGCAACAATCGTGTAAATCTGTGTGGGGAAGTTGGTGAGGTTACAAGTGAAGTAGGCAGTCCATGCCCCTCAGCTAGTGATGCTTTATCAAGCCATAGTGCACCTTTATTTGCAAATGAAGCGGTTGATGCTGTAGATTGCAATCGTCCTAGTTGTGAGGTCAGCTGCTGCTGGTCAAGACAAGGGAAGTTCATACCCACGAGTCCATAATTGCATTCCCAAGAGTGCACTTACTAAACATGAGCATTCAATTTGAAACTCATTCCTAAGCTCCTAAACCTTGAACCAAACGGACTTAGAGCATCACAATGGTAGTGTGTAAAGGTGGATGTATGCTAAATTTACACCTATGCCCACCGAAATTTGCTGCAGTGGGAGAATGGCCTGTATTTTTACATTGGGCACCGAAGATGCATAAAAAGATACTAATTTACATCAATTTTTACACTCATTTTGCTAGTATCAAAATGTGATGAAATTCTTATAAACTTTTGTAAGCACTAAATAAGTATACATGTGGAAGACTTTTAAAAGGCCAGAAATGATTGAGACCTAAACTAGAGTCCCTCCCGTCACATATTTGGTGAAGGCCAAAGCTACCAGACCTAACATGGCCAACCTTCCATTCAACAACTCAGCATCTGACGTCATTATCCCATCTGATTTGGACTCCACGCTCACGCCTTTAAACAAAGGAATCAAAGATGCCACTGACAGCAAAATACTAGTGCCAACGAACAAAAAGACTCCACCGTCGGATATCTGGGCAAACACATCCTGACCCTTGAATAGCTCCACTGCGAGGGCTAAAACGAACCCCACCATTGCAAGCCTGCCGTTGATTCTCTCCGGGGCTGGCCCACTGAATGCAAGCAAGTCCGAAAATTTTGTGCTGACCTGCCGTAAGAAAGAAATATATGTCACCTCTTTGCTCTTCTTCAGTGCCATTTTCTACGAAGAAAATAACAATTCAATTTTTTTTTCTTTCATTTATTAACAGGTTAATTAAAGAGATTTTCTATTTAAACCTCACACTTCTCTTAGTTCACCCCATGTTCTAAGTTCACCCTATCTTTTAATTTAAATTTTCACAATTTCTAAGAAAACCCCACTATCTTCCCAAACTACCCTTAAATACACCCCAAACTGAAAAAATAAGAAATAAAAGAGATTTTTTATTTAAACCTCACAATTTTCTTTGTTCCCAGCAAAAAAAACACAAACAAATAGAATCCTAAACCCAAAATTTAATACTTTCTAGAGAAAGAGAACAACTTTACCTCTCTCCAAGAACTGTAACTGGAATTCCAAT